ATCTGCGCACCCAGCACAAGGCTCGTCTTCGTACCTCACACTTTTTGCGGTATTTACGCTTTTTGCACGCTTTGCTGGTCGTTGGCTGGAGGCGAAGGTTGAGCGAGCACAGGGTCTGGATGCGAAGGACAACTCACCGGACATATCTTCCAAAGAGGTGCCGTCGCTGGCCGTACTACTACAGTTAGCCTGCTAAGAATCCATAAACTTCGACGTGATATAATAGGCATAATTCCGCTTTCGATGTTATAACGAATACGTCCGCATATATATGATGAATTAAAGTGAGTATTCAAAGCTCAATAAGCGAAAAAATACTTAAAATCCGATAAATTTTGTTGAATTTAATCAGATGTTGTGATGTCATCATCTATGCAAAGTTTTCAGAATAACCTTCACATATTTATGCTCCGAAATAACCAAGAGCGATGAGAGATCGAGCTCACACCCCGGTAACGCGTTCCCATTTTGTCCTAACATTATGAGCTCGTTTAAACTAGTGCATCCCAGAGCATTTTTCTGTATAACACACATTTTTTACGTTGCAAACAGGGCACTCAAAGCTTACGCCTATCGCGCTCAATAAACTGAATTGGACTGAAGAAGTAAGTACGCGAGCATTTCTACACGCGCCCAACGTAAATATCAAAAGTTGAGAAAACTGAAAGAAGTCGGAGAAGTTTCTGAAAAGAGGCCTTGTTCACGAATGCAAAGGTTTAGCCGGTGTCAATATACAAATTTGCCGCATGGCATTTAATTGTAAGCATGACGGCGTAGGATGATTCGGGAGGCGAGTAGACTGGAAGCTTTAGGCATCTCGGGTCGCTATTGCCAGTTTGTTTAGGGTAGGTGGCAACCGTGTTAATCCGCGCCCATCTTCTGTAGCAGCATACTTTTTTCCATATCCTAGGTCTGATTTAATAACAGTGTGACGTCATTCAGAAAGACAATATCAATTGCGAGCAGTGAGTTCTGAACGAAGTTCCTGAAAAAAACCACACCTTGAATGCCAACATTTAAAGTACATCGATGTTGCCCCTCAATGAGTACTTTCTATCTGTCCATTCAAACTTTCGTTTGCTTAATCCAATAAATATTTCAATTGCATAATACTACGTCATCTTCAGCAGCCAATTTTAAGTCTTGTTTTTCTGTACTACATGTTTGCCGGTTACTCGAAAGGGCACAGCCCGGCTTCCCTACCTTATGGCTCTTCATAGCGTTGTTCCCACAGAACTGCGCCAGTTAAGGGCGTGCCTCCTTTGCGGTCTTGTAAAAACGCAGTCTCAGTTTGAGATGAGTGGCTGTGATAACTGTGAAGATTACATGAACATCCAAGGTGACCGAGACGCCGTCCGTCAGTACACCTCCAACAATTTTGATGGGCTGATCGCAATGATGAGCCCTGCCGAAAGTTGGGTAGCGCGTTGGACAATGATCGACAAGCTTACTCCCGGTGTTTACGCTATGAGTGTGTATGGAAAATTGCCAAAAAGCAAGATTCAAGACCTGCGTAGCAAGGGCATAGTGTACCACTCTCGTGACAGGAGTCAGATGTACGTGCCCGAGTTTATAGATTTCGGTTGTCAAAGTTGCACCATTTTCTTCATTTATATCCCCTCCTCCTGAGTTCCCGTTTTTATTTTGTTGGCATAGCTTGATGACCTATTTTGCTTTCGATTGCAATTTAAGCAGTCATGACTCCTTAAATTGATTCCATGGGCTCACTACACTAGACACTTATTTGTGCCTTACTCTCAGTCCGTTTCAGTTTAAACGCCCGCATCAAAGTGGAGCGGTCTGTTTACACCATCTATGCAGTGGAAAGGAGGGTTGCGCAATGAAGCTTGGGCTTGAGGGGGAAGATAAGACTCCGCTCAATTTGGCGTAGTGATGGGGAGTTAGTCTTCAAAGTTGAGAAGGCATTCGACTTGCTAACTCTCGGCCATGACGAAATTGTCGGCAATTAATCAGTTACTCGCATCGTGGAAGGATTTGCTCGATGCAGAGATTCTGCTGCTAACTTAATAGTTTTCGAATGTCACCGATGCTTCCAGGCCCTCTTCACGGAGGCCCCCATTCCGGCCTAGCATTTTTTGCATCATCTTTACCCTTATTCGCTGTTCAACGCAGTGGTTAGGATGGATCCGTGTTGCAGACAACCGCAGGGCCCTTTAGCTAATCCAGTCATAATGCCATCGCTGGATAAATCTGAGAATCCTCCTTCCCACCTTGTGGATTGGGATCTCAACAACAGTAATTTGGTGCCTTGCTCCTCAATCCCCGCTAGAAAGTGGGGCTGGGCCTCTGTGCTCAGAACTCCGATTGTTTTGGCCTGCCGTAATTTTGTTCCTATGATAGCACAACCCATGCTAGTCCTCATGCACGTAGTTATCCTCAGCCGTCACTTGCCCATCATCACACCTGGTCGTTTCTTCTTCACTATGCATTCAGAAATTAGTCCCTTGCCCTGCCTCCAGAGCAGCAAGTTTCTGACCAGTCTGCTAGGTGGCGCCATCGAAGCAATTTAAAATTTGAAGTGTTTGAGCCGAACTTCAGAACCGGAGAAGTAAACGTGCTTGCCCTCGATCCTGAGCCTTTACACTGTCGAAAGTCCAACATTCTCCGCACTAGAGTTGTTTTCATTTGGGCGACCGTGTGAACAGTAATGTTACAAGGTCACGAATGTTGAAAATCTGGGTTAGAGATCTCAGCTACTAGTGCATGTGGCCTATCAACCACAGCTGTCAACTTAACCAAATTTCCGTCATTAGTTGGAGACTCGTCCACGAACAGCCCACCACTTGGACGTGGTCAGCAGTGAGCACCCATGCTAGTCCAGGCATATCCTGCGCTGACCGTGGCAAAAAACTAACTTTGGATGTTCCATGCGCACTAGATTTTGTCAACTACAAGGGCAGAAACATTGGTCAGTCCAAACGGAGACCGGGGGAAAGACGCAAGTGTCGAATTTTATCGATCATGGAAAAAAGCCATTGACCCCGCAACCATACGCCAAAGAGGCGTCAGAATTAGTCATCATGGGAACCACCTGGTTGGGTTAGTTGCAATGAGCAACCGAAAGGTAGACAGTTGCGGATATTTCACATAGAGCCTGGCAAGGTCATTTCCACTAATTTTGTGCCAGCCCTACACGCCATCACTGTGTCACCCACTTATCCCACTCCAACCTAATAGATTATTAAGCAAAATGCTTGATGCATGCATTCTATTTTATGACACTGAACCAAATTCTTGAATTTACTATCTATATAATGTAGAGGGACGGTTTTAACCCACTCAATATAGTGCTCCTAGTTGGCCGATAGAAGTAAGGCTAATAGCTTATCTGAAGTTTATAAGCCCAGAAGACACAATCATGATGAGTCCTTATTCAAAATTTTTTAACATTTCAGGTGACCCTTTACCACCACGGTTTACACCTTGTTGTGCTCCTTTCATGATCTACTTATCGCCCCTCCTGTACATAAAATAAAAATAATTTCCGCCCAAGGTCTACTACTTTTTAAGGAATTACATCACGTTCGCAAAGCGTTATGGTCGCACTGTCGATGTAAAAGCACCGGCTTGGAAGACAGAGAAGAGTACTATCTATTTTAAGTGTAGCGCGGCTGGGATATCAAACAGAAGAGGGAAGTTAGCGCGTTCTTCAATAAGATCCGCAAGATGAAGCAGCCGCGGCTCCGACCATGGCGGCCCAATCAGTTGCAACCCTATCGGCAGGCCGAGCGTTGCTGACTGGGCTGACAACTTAATGGGGATAGTGACTGCAGGCAAGCCAGCGAGGTTGACTCCCACGGTGCAGAGGTCTTCGCGGCTGCATCGACTGCGACTATCCAGTTGACGGAACTCATCCAGGAGTGGGGCGGGCCGCAGGTTGACGGGTGTCAGTAAGAAGTCCACATCAGTGAAAACCTAGTACGTTAGAAAATTTATAGCTTGTGACGATTGGATACGATAAAGGTTCCTACAACCGATTCACTGTTAGCACCGTCTTTAGGGGACTAGAGGTGAGTTAAACGATTTCAGAAAAAAACGACGATGTTGGTAAACAGATCTGATTTCAACAACCGGGTGGGAATAAGCACCACTCATTTTGTGTGATTACTGGTTTTTTTAAGAAAACTTATAAGTGACTTGTTTGCGTTGTACTTTTCACGCAAGAACAGTCCATGACTTCCACATCTCCGTATATGACAAGTGATACATTTGCGCAAACGGGTGTGGAAACTCGGACGCGAAGTTGTATAACTTTTGCTTGCTCACCCTGAATTGTCATTGTGACGCCGCAGCACCATGCAGTCTCAACCAAGCAGATCAATCCAGTGGAATAACGGCAATTGGGGTGCCACGAGATCTTTGTCCAACCGATGACAGATATAGTCACAGGAGGAGGTGGTTTGTATCGGGGACTATGGGGTACGTATGCTAGGTAAACAACAAGTTTGGTCTCTGAGAGATCAAAGCGCCCATTGAAAGTTAGGAGTAGCAGGCATATTTCGTAGTCTGGCCACCCCGTGTAGCTAGCCACTGCGCGGTCGATCGTGGTAAAATGGATTGTGGGACATGCGGCGGTAGTGCACTGGCCGGAGGTTCTCGACATAAACCTGAGAGGCCTGGAGTTAATTCCAGTCGCGCGTCCAAGTCTTCATCAACATGATGCACAAGACCTAAATGGAGTTGACGTATCCCATGTATTTTTAAGTGACTGGGATGAACCTGCCCGACCCTTGAGCCAGGTAGGAGCATGTCTCCTTGTTAGACAAAAAATGAGCCAGTTAGTTTGTCCATAAACGCAGGAAAAAGCAGAATCCAATCGAGGTGTATTTCTGGTCAAGAGAACACAACTTCGTGAGTCATGATTATTGGCTTGGTGAGGTGGACGGTTTTAAGTATCTCGAGGTCGAGTTTTGTCAAACAAACTGATTAGGGGCGAAATCGTCGCCCGGATCGACATGTGTCAGAGAATTCCGATGTATCTGAAAGCCTCTCGTGATATTTCGATCGTCAACGAAGTCCGCATGTATTGGGCGTCAGTCCTGTCATTCCTCTTTGATTTTAAATTCTGAGCTATGCCTGTGGAAGACAGGTGGGAATTGGAGGTCTTCGAGAACCGCTGCCTGGTAATGATCTACCGAATGAAGCAGATCAATTTCGTCTCGAATCAGGCAATCCACACTCGCTGCGGCAACACTGTCAAGATTACTGACGCCACTTAAGAAAGGTTGACGAAATGATTCGACGCCCCCCCTCCCCCCATGAGTCTAGTGTTGGCCTAAGTTCGATGCTGCCTAAGCAGAGACGTGGAAGAGAAGATATTGGAACCGGGCTGGACATAGTCCGTCGAAACACAGTTGGCCCTTGGGGCCCTCGGTCCTCGTTGCCGCGAAAGATCAATCGCATCCAACCGCCGTGTGGGGGGAGATAAACGCCGTGACATCTTCAAGTCCGACTAGACCAGGAGTAATCAGAGATGCGCCAAGTACAATTTTCCCGAAATAGTTGGTGCACCATGGTGTGGAAAGAGGGGCGGTCAGAATGATTGCGTACTTAGCAAACACGGTAAATTGGACCTTTTTAACCATCTCTGACGGCATTAATTTCAATTGTACCGAAATAAGCGAAGAATACTAACGATGACAAGACATTAGGGTAGTAGCTTATGACTTATTTGTTGTCTTCTTTCGGCCGAACTATAAACCCACACCGGAAGGGCCCGCAGTCATGAAACACTGGAGCGACCTCCCTACTATTGAGGCGCTGGAATAGGCCCCATCGGCTGAGATGTGCTGTGTGGTTGGAAATTGCGCGACCATTAGGATTGTTTATTGGTTTACGTTAACCCCCATAATCTATGTATGGAGGGGGCTTTGTTACTTACAAATCCGAACTAGACGTCCAAGGCCTGGACTTAAGACAATGAAAGCATTCAGCATTATGGAGAGGGGTAGAGGCTGCCAGCCCGCCCTTCAATAGCCTACCTCGTCAAAATCACTTTTTATCAGTCGCCAAAGTCGCCGAGCCGCATCAAGATGCTTGTGCTTCTGAGTACGGAGAAGAAAGAAGTTGCCGGCCAGAATGCGATTCTTCACTTCTGTGCCGAGCCCGAGTTGGCGGGAGGCAGCCATAAGGCCATCTGAGGTGTCCATATTCAGGTGGGCCAGTTGTCTTTTCAACTCCTCCGAGGGGTCCGCACGAAGGCCATAGCGCAGCCCGTCATACCTGGTAATGGTCGGTAGACAAAGTGGCATTAGGAAGCGCCGGAAGGGCGCGGCGGCTGACAAGATCGGAGGAACAGGAGACGACAAATGGACACAGTCAGGTGTCAGTCAGTAGTGTTCTCGGCCCACTAGGTTGCAGGGGATGCGACAAGTGGTGGCTGATTATACTAGCGGAGGCATGGGACATACTGCAGATGGAGGGGGGGGGGGCGGGGAGGTTTAGTCCTGCCAGCGCCCGGGTGCCTGCTGACCTGGGCTCCGTTTGTAATTTCGCCCTGCTAAGTTCCAACTACGAGGCTGTACCGTTATGGACAAACGAGGCAGCCGGATGAGTCAAAAAACAAAGCATTCCCCGAAGACCTCGCAGACATGAAGTAAGTGTATCGCGTTAACGGCTGTCAGTCCAGAGAGGTAGGGGTCTTAGAATATCTCCGGGTGGAAATGTCGCTAAAAGCATAGACTAGGGACGACGCCGTCAAATTAATGCTGCCGGAAACATTTCAGAAAACCTTAGGAGTTGCTCATGGACCTAATTGCCTTGAGGGTTGTCGATACTGGATCGTTTTATAGGATGTGTGGAAACTGGAGGGCCTTACCCACGACTGTCTGAAAACAATTTCGCCAATGAAATACGCAGGCCTCGCTTCAAATGAAAAAGCCTGCCCTCGCTGCGACAACCTTGCGAGACTATGACGAGGCTTGCACAAAAAAACGGTCGAAGTAGCTTTGATCATCTTTAATCGCTTCAGGAGTTCATTGCAGTTGTTCTAAACTTAACATCACCGATTTATTGAAAAAAACGTTACTTCAAGACTGGTCCCAGCGTGCTCTTTCAAAATATCCTATCTGTTCTTGAAACTTGCCGTTAGAAAAAGTGAGACAAGCTCGCTAGATCTGATGCAGATAGTAGTGTGTGAGAAAGCAGTATGCGACATCGTTGAGGTCAGTTGGGAAAGACTTGGAAATTACACGCAGGCACCTGCTTTCCGTAGTACTGGACAGTTTCCCACGAAACTGGTTTGTATCTGCAGATCATGCTTTGGATGGCCGAAAAATCCTAAACGGCTTGAAGTCAAGGCAGTTGACTCGTTCAGATATTTGTACAAGGATAGGAATTATGATTTATAGTCACGAGTCATGAACAAATAGGCAGTGGCCGTAGGGAGTCTAGGCATTTATCGGGTAGACAACAGTTGCTCAGTTTGTGACCTTCAATCCAAACAAGGACAAGGATGGTTTGTGAATGGATTGATGTCAATCTCTGTCCGTAAGAGTCGAGCGTTAACCTAAAGGTATGATGGAAAGACAAACATTTCATGAAATTAGACAGAGAAGAATTTCAGCTGCGAGGCAAAGTGCTCATGAGTGGAAAGTCTTTAGCCGTGCTGCACAGAAAACGATCTAAGGAGCGTTCTTTTCACTTTTTTTTCGCAAATGTTTCTGACCACCGCCAAGGACGATGTCAACCGTGGGTCACAAAGCATGATGGGTGGAGGGCGGTGACTTGTGACTGAATTGGTCTACACTGACGGCAGATTTGCACAGCGTCTGCCGCACTCGTTCATTCCTCACCTACCTCGGCCCGTCAGCAAGACAGAGTTATGACGACCGGAGGCGGGCTCGGGCGTGCTTACTGACAAGACAAAACAACCCGTTTACGCGTGCCACACACGAGCTGGCCCGAGCGCGATGCACCAAATTTCCGCAATAACGATGGATAAACTCGAATCCCACCTGAGTGGGAGTGCAATACGGAGTGAGTCGTTGCGGCCTCATTCCCAGTCCACCAGTCAGCTACCCCATTCACACGCACACAGGGCTACCCGCGAGGACCCAGCTATCCCGATAGCCATATACGAAGTTCAGAACGAGCAGACCCCGGAGTGGGGTAAGGTCGGCTGGCGATAACGAATGAGTTAGAAATATTCCCTCCGGCTTCAGGGATTTACCTATCGATTATCGATGTTTCCTTGACACGTGACAGTCGTGATCTCCAGTGTAGAATGGAAAGTCCGCATTTCATTCCCAAAATTAGCTAAATCGGCGACTACCACTCCACGCGCTTTAGTTCACTTTAAAACCCCCTTATAACATCTGTGGCCAAATGAAATACAAATAAAAATCAGAATAAAAATGGCAGGCGGCAGGACCGTCTCTAGGCCACCCCAACAGTTAAGGAAGCAGTGACGATCAGGTATGCGGGCTCGTTTATTTTTTACTTCTGCGAAATACCTACTTGTTTCATTTGGGTAGGCTTGATTTCCTCTCGCTCATTCCCGTTACGCTTCCCTCAAGTGTTACCATTAGGGTTAGCGGTCAGGGTCAGAGGTAATAGATCGGATTTTAAGGTCAGGATTGGAAGTTAAGACCAGGGTTAGGCCTAAGAAACAGGTCTAGGGTTAGGGGCTAGGCTGTCGACGCCATTAAACTCGATCGTATCTCGAGTCGCGACTATCACATGAGATGGACTTGACGACATATTCTTCGCACTCTCTCCTCCACCGTAATTGCTCACCACGGGCTGCGATCAGTTCGCCTGGAATATCCGTTTACAGCTCCAAATGTCCGGTATTTCGAATTAGGCACTCGCGTTTTTACGCATTACGAGTGTATTTGAACAAGTTAATGGCGTGAATGTAAGTTCTTACCTTTGATTCCCAAAAATGGCTGTCTGTCAGTCCCGTTTAGCCCACCCATAAAACGCCTATTATTACCATTTTCGTATTACAGGAGTTCTTGTCCCCCGTTCCTTTAGTAGGGTCGCATATCCGATGGTCACCAAGTAAACAGAGAGAGAGAGAGAGAGAGAGAGAGAGAGAGAGCAAACAGAAAATATGTTATCAGATTAGTTGCCCTCGTCGGCTACTAACACTAAGCCTCCGGCTCCATAAGCCTGAAACTTGAAGTTGAGGCCAAAAACTGTATGAGACTCTGCTTTGTCAACTGCATTACTCATTAATCAGAGCCAATACCAGCATGGAGAAGAGGATTTAAGTATACCTGGACATATTAGAAGCAACCTCAACTGCACAGAGGACCGAGTAGACAGCTGTCGCCACCGGAACATGCGGCAAACTCACTGCCGCAACACTGAAATGGAATTCATCCGCCAACCAGCCAGCAACCTCATCCCACACCACAGCTACCTCCTCTGACATGCCGGGTGTGTGAAACTCCCATGGAATGCCGATTCGCAGACGCGCGTCTTCGGCAGGCTGGGCTCCGCTTTCGAGCGCCTGTTGGACTTTCTGCAGGTCTTCCCGCCCTCCAGGCGGAAGCGAGAGTGTGGAGTCGCCGAGGCGCGCAATAGGTCCCCGCTCACAGCTTGCTGTCATCCATGCGTGCAGGAGGTCCACAATGTCCGCGACACGCGGCGCAATAAGCGAGGGCGAGTCAAGAGTGTTCGCTAGCGGCACCAGGCCGCACCGTGAGACAAGACCGAACGTGGGTTTGTAACCGGTAACGCCACAGAAAGCTGCCGGCAGCCTGCAGGAGCCGCCGGTATCTGAGGCGATCGCGGCCGGAGTCAGACCCGCGGCGACAGCCGCTGCACTACCACCAGAGCTGCCACCGGCGATTCGAGCAGCTTGCGCAGGAGAGCTCCAGGGATTGACTACTGGCCCTGTGAGTTGGTTGTGGATGGAGGCAGAACCCATGGCAAATTCATCCATGTTAGTCTTGCCGATGAGGAGGCCTCCGGCTTGAAGAAGAGACTCGATAACCTGAAGGGATAAATAAACATAGTGGATGAGGATGATGATGATCTAATTGGGAGAGGACGGAAAAGGGTCTGCAAGACAGAGAGATTCCAGTTCAAATTTAGCAAACAGGCTTAAAAAGGATGAACCACTTCAAGCAGACCACCTAGAACACAGTCTCTATACTCAGCAGGTGTGAAAACATACCAAATTCAGCGAACCACTTGGGAGGATGTTTCAAAAAGGGATTTTTTGTGCACAACTACCTGCAGGTCATTAATTACTTTTTGCAAAACGAACATCAACAAAGACAGTGGAGACTGGGTGGGGGGAGGTCAGTTCTAGATTATCAGCCGTCGTGAACCAACCATATCCCAGCCCGAGGTTTGGATAGCAATGGATTCGAATAAGGATGGTTTGATTACCAGACGTCAACTCATACGCCCTATGGATCTGTTGTATTTCCCGTAGTCGGTGCCTATTTTTGCTAATTACTGATCAGTATGGGTTCGCATGACAGGGGTTTAGAATGGAGTACAACAAACAAAGGAACAAACATGTTCCGTGCTGTAATTAAATCAGTCGAAAAGCCTCCAACATAATTATTTAGCAATTAATAATATGGATAGAAAAATTAAGAGTTTGACTAAACATGTTCCAAGTTTTAACAGCGGGCACGAAACATGGGAACAGCGGGCACGAAACATGGGAACAACGACCAGCAATGGCAGTTACGCACATACATTCGGTTCCCCCATGGCCCAATTTGTAGTTCACATAAATTATGTTTCATAGGTGATATGGCAAATTTCAAATAATTCACTTCAAACGCACGACAGCAAGGGGAGGCTTTAGTATAGCCAACACTCTAACCATCTGATCTACGAGGCCCCACCGAACGACACGAGTTTAATCACATTTGGGTTAGATTTACCCGCCTAATTTCCTGCAGCGTCGTCCGGTGGGGCGTCGTAGGTCAGATGGCTGGAGCGTTGGCTGTACTAAAGCCTTCCCTCGTTGTCGTGGGTTCGAATCCCACCGAGGCACCGAGTTTTTCACAGGTGGAGCAAAGTGAATAAAATTGTGTTTGTTGGACAACTATTTGACCAGTACGGCCCAAATTCAGGACAATATTTTATTCTGCGCATAGGAGATGAACAATGATCGATTAACTTTCCGTTTACTCAGAATGCAGAAATTTGATCAAAAGAACCGGAGGACAGTATATTTTCCTTACCCTTTTTCAGCGGTGAAAACACATACGGGATAAAATGCAACGGGAGCTCACTTGATCAAATGACAATGGGAAACTGGCTGTTGATTCACGCATATTTGTTTCTTGGAATGCTGCAAAATTAGCAACTTAAAGACCCTAAGAGGTCAATAAAATATGGCCCAGATTGGATGTCGATACCTATGAGGTAGTACCCAGGGCCAGGTGCTGTGGCGTAACGGAGTGTGCAAATCGCGAATTAGCCCACAAAAGCACATGACATATAAGGGAAAAAGAGACATTGCTATTCGGCTGCACATGCACGCGATAGGTGTACGGCTAGGTGACAATGCTCGATCTAATAATCAAACGATTAAAAACTTCGACGACTACGACGACGACTGATTGTGCCCCCCATGTGTAGGCATACAAATAATAAAATACAGCGAGGCTTGTCACTAGCCTCACGCGGTCCCAGCAGCGAACTGACAGGGAGCGTGAGCCGCACAGAAGGACAGCTAGACAAAGCGACAGAGAACAAGGCAACGAGGGCTGCCACAAGTATACAGCTTGTAGATTAGGAACCCTGAATGCAAGTAAAACGGAAGGTGGGGTTTAAAATTTTGCGGGAACTGAGCACATTTTTCGAACCGGAAGATGCCTTTTATTCAGGCATGAAATTAGAAGAAGACGTAATTAGCTACCAAGTGAGTAGGAAAAAGGATATTTTTGTACGTGTTTTGCATAGAATATATTAAGATTTATAAGAGCGTCGAAAAGCTATAGGGAAAATTTGTGCTACATAAGCAGCCATTTGGCACAAAGTGTATTTTATGCAGACGGCCGATAAGAAGTGCATTGAAAAACCGGAAACTTGGTGTGACAAAAATATCTTTGGATAGTGCTACACGATAATTAACATTGTAATCCCACTTAAGCAATATCTTCGAACTGAAAACATATTTCAGAATTTCGGCTAATATTTTATGGGATAGCGTGTGAAAAGTGGCAGTTTAAAATGGCTCACCGGAGCAGTGTATGGCGCATGAAAGTTGCCCAGTGCTTTGGATGCACAAGTGGTTCGGCCGGTCGAAAGGCAGAAATTGTCCTTCACCATGAAAGGAATGCCATAAAGTTTGCGACCAGGTGAGGAGGGGAGGGAGGGAGGGTCTGGAAATCGATCACCCACAACCGCGTTCGTGGCCGACAGGCCGAGGCTAGAGACTGGGAGGCCTGCTGTGACGGCTGAGCGATCAGCGTCAACTCTGTGGGCAAAAAATCGCCATACGTCGGTGGGTTCCAAGTCTTTGGCCAGTATTGCTCGCCTGAGCCGAGCAATAGTTCCAGGTCTTCTCATAATTGCCTTGGGAGGCAGCACTCTGGAAATGAGATGAGGGTGCGAAGCAGACTGAAGAAACAACGGTGTGGTGGGCTCACAAGTGAGCATCTATATAAAAAACGAGCTACTCAACAAATGAAAGTAGGCATGGTTTTGCCATTTAAAACCTTGGGCACATACGGGAATTTTAAACTGAGCTGTTTCATCTTGAGAACTAAAGTCCTCCCAACGTGCCCATCTTAAATCCGTCCCGCTCGGAATACGGATAAACG